TGTGATGTTCCCTCATACATAGTGACATGTCTGTCTACCTAAAGTTGATGTAGGAGGATGTTTTATCTTTTTCTGTGATGTAATGAACCTTATTCCCCGCATAGTGCTGGGGCTATAGCAGCAACTTAGCTATCAATATTAATAATTTTTATATCAATATTTTAGATATAATGTATTATAAATAACTTTTATCATTCAGATTAACGTCAGTCAATTTTTGTATTACACCTTCAGCGTTTGAAAAAACAGATACGAAGCACAGTGGTGTTAGAAATAAAAGAGTAATGTACGCATTCTTCACCCCTTCCCATCTTCTACATTCTCAGTACTGTTGCATACTTTTATCTTCCCTCATCTGGATGGCTTCTGTTTCCTCCCAATTCATATTCATGACTCTGATCTTCTTTTCAGCCAACATTGCTGGTGGATAAACATCTATAAAATTAAATTTGATCATGTTCTTCCACTCTCTTAAGGCTTTTAGGTGATAGTTCTCAAACTTTACTGCATGACATTATTTGAGTTCTCATTAGGCAGATTCTGATCCATCCAGGTCTATTCGTACTGATCCAGGCTTGGTATCAGGCCCAGGAACCTGTATTTTAACAAATAGCCCTGATGATTCTGAGAGAAGCACTGCTTTAATGGCTCCCGAGCCTCCAAGGTGAAGTTCTGAGCCTTTGTGTGAACCTCTGTGCTCTCAGTGAACCGACCCTTCGTCAGCATTCTTTCTCTTGGTCATCTGTGGCTTCATCAACATCCAGCCTGTCATGTGTCCTGCTTTAATCCTTTTTTACATTTTGCTATCTTTCTGCTCTTTCATAGTTACCCCTTCAGAGAAGCTTTCCCTGGTCACCCAAGGTGGAGTTGGTGCTTTCTCTGTTGTGTCCCTTATTGTACCTTGCAATCCTCCTCTCTTTAGAGGACCATTCCTACTGTATTGTCATAGTGTCTTTACATGTCATTCATTATTTGTGAGGTTTGAATTCCATGACTAGAAAGTCATCTTATTTGTCTTTGTATCTCCAGTATCTTGCACAAACACAGGCGAATGCCTAACAAATGAATTAAATATGGGAATAAAATGCAGGTCTTGGTTTTTTTAGGTCATATTTTATATACTATAAATTTATATTATTACACTCTTTAGATTCTTCAGCTGTGCTATAGAAATTATTTCCCACTTTCCTTTGATTCAGTTCAGAGCAGAGGTTTAAGCAAAGGAGACAGAATTAGTAATAATTATGGAAATAATTTTTGAAAGAGCAGCCACTTGAGACTTTTTTTTTTTATAAATTGTTTTACTTTTTTTTTTAAAATTTATGAGGCATACAGAGAGAGAGAGAGAGAGAGGCAGAGACATAGGCAGAGGGAGAAGCAGGCTCCATGCACCGGGAGCCCGACGTGGGATTCAGTCCTGGGTCTCCAGGATGGCGCCCTGGGCCAAAGGCAGGTGCTAAACCGCTGCGCCACCCAGGGATCCCCACTTGAGACTTTTTTTTACATTTTTCTTTAATTAAGATATAATTGACGTACAACATTACATTAGTTTCAGGTTTACAACATGATGATTCGGTATTTGTATATATTGTAGGATGATCACCACGGGAAATCTAGTTAACATTTGGGAAATGCCTCTTGAAGGATGGGTAAAATTTGACTTAAGCGGTTGTAAGGAGAATGAGAAGGGAGCATCATCCTGGCATAAGCAAAAGCATAAACATGTGACACTGCATGGTTCTGGAAGATACAAGTGGTTTAGGGGCGCCTGGGTGGCTTGGTCATTTAGACATCTGCCATTGACTTAGGACATTATCCTGAGGTCTTGGGATCAAGCCCTACATCGAACTCTCTGCTCAGCAGGGAGTCTGCTTCTCCCTTTCCTCCTCCTCCTCCTCCTCCTCTTCCTCCTCTTCCTCATGCTTGCACTCTCTCAAATAAATTTTAAAAAATCCAAAAGAAAAAAGATACAAGTGATTTAATTGGGCTGTAGTAGAAGATATAGGTGTTGTGGGTAGAGATGAAATTGGAGGAGTAGGCAGCAATATATTTTAGAGGATATTTTGGGCTTTGCAAAGAAGTGTTTGCTTTGCAGAGATTGTATCCTTGGATTAGAAAGTGCTATTGAAGCCTCTTCAGCTAGGAAGAAACATGGTCAGATGGGACGAAGATTGAGACAGAAGAAAAACCAGTTACGGGAATTTGTTATAATTTTATGGTAGAAGAGTTGATTAGCAATCTAAAATAATTTTATAAATTTTTAATGATGTCCTTTGTTCATTCTGCCAGGTACTCTGTCTTACACAAGACGAGTAAGACATAGTTAGTTACATAGTTAGTTCCCATAGAGTACAGGAAAATGTAAATATATAAAATACCTAACTATATCAACACAGCCAAGACGTATGTGTTTGTGATGTATAGTATATATATAAAATGTTATGAGAGCTGGATTCGTTGTGGACTAATTTTCCTTGGGAGAATTAGGGTCTTGGTGGAAGAGAAGGGATGAGAACGAACAAAGAAGAATATTTTGGGCAAAGGAATAAGTAAAATGATTAATGGATCGGGGACTTGTGGTTATGGTATGAGAACTTGTTTGTTAAAGCTGGAAAAATATTTGGTATCAGACTGTAAAGGGCCTTGAATGTTGTGCTGAAGGATTTTGTATTTTATCCTGGAGTCATATTTTCTGATTATGAAAATAATATATATTCACTGTATACCATAAGAAATATAGGGAAATATAAAGAAAAAATATTCTATAATTCCATTACAAAATATAATTACAAATATATTCATGTATTTCTTCCCAGTGTTTCTCACCATGGTCAGATACATACTTAAGCATTAAATAAATGAAATCAGAGCCATACTCTGTGTGTGTGTGTGTGTGTGTGTGTGTGTGTGTGTGTGTGTGTGTGTAATTTTATCTCCTTTAAAATTCGAACAGGAGGGGTTCCTCATTCGCTCAGTCGGTTAAGCATTTGCTTCAGCTCAGGGTCCTGGGATCCAGCCTCGAGTTGGGTCCCTGCTCAGTGAGGAGTGTGCCTCTTTCTCTCCCTCTGCTCCTCTCTGCTCCCCTCCTTGTGCACGTATTTGTGCACACACTCTCTCCCTCTCTTTCAAATAAATAAAATATATATAAAAAAATTTGGAACAGGAAATTTTGCCACGTGGTCAAATGTGCCCAGAAAGCATGATTTGTAGTGCTTGCAGTATTTATTCTACTATATGGCTACACTTAAATTATTTATCTTTCCTTATTGTTAGATTATTTAGGCTTCAATTTAAAATAATGGCTACCATTTCACTGAACATCTTTGTATGTCTGTATTTCTGATTATTTAGGAGAGAGTTCTAGAAATAAATGCACTGGATCAAACTGACTAAAGCCTTGCAATGTATTTTGCCACACTGCTCTTCTAAAAGGCTGCTATTTAAATTCACGCCTGCAGTGTGTGGGTTTGATTTTCATTGTACTCCTGATCTAAGTAGTTTTAGTGTTACTGTGTGCTAATTTTATAAATGGTATCTTGTAGTTATTTTAACAGTTATTTCCTTGACAACTAGTTTGAGCTAGTTTTTCCCTGTATTTATTGACTCTTTGTTTTCTTTTACTGTGAATTGTCCTTGATCTTTATGGTATTCTCCCTCTTACTTGGGCATTAGTATTTTTCTTGCCGATTTTAAGAAATATTTATATAGATTGTAACTCTTTCAGTCTTATTTCTGGGACATTTTCTTATTTCTTTTTAATATTTTTATAGTAGTGAATTTTAAATTTAAGAGGAGTTTCAAAAGCTCTTTCTCATCTAGAGATCAGATATATTCACCTATATTTTGATTTAGCTTTTAATTTGTATTCTCCATTTCTCTTCATAACCCGTGAGAATGGCAGCTTTTTGGCAGAAGAGTGATGTGGTTGGATTTGTGCTTTTGTGGCTCTGTGGAGTTGTGTTGGAGTAGAGACTAGAGGCGGTGAACACTAGTGAGAGGAGAAAATAAGTGTCCAAATGTGGTACAGTGATAGTGGGGATAGAATAGAAGAGGAATGATTCTCCACTGATGGTCTGGGAGGCACAGCGGGTTCAGTGGCATCGTGGACATCAGGACATTTAGACTGTGAGGTGCTATGGGACATCTAGATACAAGCTGTTTTAAGTAGAGGGTTGAAACTCCAGAAGGTTGGTCCTTCTGATGATGGAAATTAGGGAGCCACAGGTGTTAGTCTTAATGTGGGAGTAGGATGACTTTTCAGGTTTGGTGACTGCTGAGAAGAATGGTCAGAATTAGAAGGTTCACCGGGAAGGGAAGCCCAGAGAGGTGGCTTTTAACTTTTTTTTTCCACTTATGGTTTTCTCTCACTCACCCAACAAAAATAAGAATGTCAGATACTGCAAAGAGTGTTTCCTTGGATTAGCTTACTACTTTCTGTACATTTGGTTAAAAGGGGCAGTAGAGGTGGTGGGAGAGAGGTCAGTAGAAGAGGGAGCATGGTTAAAGGATAACACTTCTTGTTAGAATCTATGTAAACTTGAGCATGTTCTTTATTGAGGGAAAAGAATCTGTCAACAGAGAGTGAAGGTAAAGTAGAAAAAGGAGGAATTTGATGGTATAGCAACTTAAAGGGTTGAGTAGCCTTGATAAGTGGATTCTTTCAGATGGACCAGTAGTTCATTTGCAGAAAGAGAATTTGCTTACAGGTGTTTGAAACACACTTTAATCTCTTCTATGAGTAAAAAAGACTACCTGCTTCAATAAAACATTTTTCTTGTTTTTAAAAAATTGACCATTTTATAATCGTTTCAGCATAAAGTTCTGTATAAATTCATATCTTTTATGTGCTGCTACGTGGCAAAGTTCATGTGTTACTTTTAAAGATAGAGGTACCTAAAAAGATGGTCTAATAAGCATTCAAATTCCTCTATTACTCATTAATGAATGTATGCAATTAAACACTTCATATTATAACCATTTTTTAAAAATGTTTATTACAGGGAAATTTGCCTAAATATTCTCATAACTCCCTGATGGTTCAAGCAATAAAGACAAACCTAACAGATCCGGACATACATGTGCTTTTCTTTGATGTGGAAGCGTTGATTATTCAACTCCTGACTGAAGAAGCCTCTAGGCCGAATACTGCGCTTATTTCCCCAGAGAATTTGCAAAAAGCATCTGGCAGTTCAGACAAAGGGGGCTCTTTTCTAACTGGAAAACGAGCAGCAGTTCTCTTCCAACAAGTGAAAGAAACTATCAAAGAGAACATAAAGGAACATCTCCTTGATGATGAAGAGGAGGACGAGGAGATGATGAGACAGAGAAGAGAAGAGAGTGATCCAGAGTATCGGGCCAGCAAATCTAAACCATTAACCCTATTAGAATATAATTTAACGATGGACACGGCAAAATTGTTCATGTCCTGTCTTCATGCCTGGGGTTTAAATGAAGTTCTGGATGAAGTTTGTCTTGATCGCCTTGGCATGCTGAAACCGCATTGCACAGTATCTTTTGGTCTCTTATCAAGAGGAGGTCATATGTCCCTGATGCTTCCTGGCTATAATCAGCCCACTTGTAAACTGTCACATGAGAAAGCAGAAATAGGAAGGAAGCTGCCAGCAACTGAGAGCGTAGGAAAGGGAACTTACGGAGTATCCCGAGCTGTCACCACACAGCATCTCCTGTCTATCATATCTTTGGCAAATACGTTAATGAGCATGACCAATGCAACTTTTATTGGTGATCATATGAAGAAGGGTCCTACCAGGTGTGATTTGATTTTATTCTCACATTTTTTTTTTAAAGAATAAAACCTGTTTTATTTTTCTCACTGTTTTTTTTTTTTTTGGCTCTGCCCACCTTAGCGTTTTTGTGTCATCTCAGTGTTTCCCCTTGAAATTTTAAAACACAACGTGCATGATTTAAAGCATGATAAAATTATATAGTTTAATCTTTACTCAAACATACTACTTAGCTATTTAAAAACAATTTTGGAATGAGGGCATAGATACCAGTTAAGCTTTAACAAGCGAATTAATAGAGATGCCTGGGTGGCTCAATGGTTGAGTGCCTGCCTTCTGCCCAGGGCAAGATCCTGGAGTTTTGGGATCGAGTCCCACATCAGGCTCCCGGCATAGAGCTTGCTTTTCCCTCTGTCTCTGCCTTTCTTTCTCTGTGTCTCATGAATAAATAAATTAAAAATCTTAAAAAAAAAAGTGAATTATAGACTAACTCTTCAGTAAATATAATCTTAGAATTGTATACTTAAAGTTTGCATTGACATTTCATTCAAAATGTATATTTGGTTGAAATACTTTATGGTTTATATGTAATGAATGATAGGTGTTCAGTGATTATCTTTAGAATTTTGTGAAAAGTGTGATCAGAAATTTTCAATTGGAAGAGAGAAAACAGCTTTTTTAATTGTAGGAGAGTACATTTTAATATTTCAGGAATATCTAACCTGATTTGTTATTACTTATTTTCAGAAGTCATGAAGACAACTTTTTAAACTGTGATTTTATTATACTTTATTGAGAGTTGGTCATTTTGAGAAATTTTAAATAATCAAATACTTTAGTATTTACCTTGTATCTGGTTCTGTTTGTAAGTACTTTATAGATAGTTTTTCATTAATGCTCTTAACCCTATGAGATAGATACTGTTAATATCTTTTTACTACAGATAAGAAAACTGAGACACAGATTAAGTAATGTGCCCAATATCACACAGGTGTAGTTAAGTGGTATCAGAATTCAAAATGAGGCACATTGCCTCTGGAGTCCAAGATTCCTGATGCCTTATTACCTTTTTCAGATTTTAAGGATGAATTCTTTTAGGCTCACTGTATTATTTCTTTGGACTAATGATATAGGGAGGGCCGAAATCTCAGCATGCTAATATTGAAGAATGAAGGACTAATTATGATATTTGTCAGTGGTAGTACATTAAACTGCTCAGAAATATTTCTTAAATTAGTATAAAGCACAAATTATAGATGTAAAATTTTTACTTGCTGTTTGCTAATCATTTAATATATTAAAATTAGAAAAGGAAAATGTTAATAGATGAAAAGGAGGGAAAAAAAGATCTTTTTGGAATAGTAAATTGAAAATGTTCCATACATGTTTCTTTTGCAGTTCATTTGGAACTAGAAAGTTTAATGTTTTAAATGGTTCTTGAAATATGAAAGTATGAATGTATATATACATGTATTTTCTTCTTTTTAAAGGCCACCTCGACCAAGCACCCCAGACCTTTCTAAGGCAAGGGGTCCCCCTCCAACATCCAGTAATGTTGTACAAGGACAGATTAAACAAGGTAAAATTAAATCTTATTAAGTAATTGACCTGACATTTCAGCTGTAGAAACTGAAGAGGCTTAGCTAATGTATAATCATAACATTTGTTTGTCTCAGATTGTTAAAAGAGAGAAAAGTTGTTATATTCCAGATGTAAATATGGATAATTAAGATGTCAGTTAAAAATAAATCAGATTTATTTAGAAATTGATAAATGAGCATATTTCACATAATTTTATTGTACTGTCTTTGACCTAATTTTTATGCATTAGGGCACCTTAACTCGACAACACTAGTGCGTTAATTGTGTGTATCTTGAGTCTAAAAGTTATACCTGTTTTAAACTACATTTAGAAATGTTTAAATTCATATTTTCATACTGTAGCTATTCTGCTGTTTGCCAGTAGTTCATGCCTTGTAATCCACAAGTGGAAATCTTTCCTTTTACTTACATCATTATATACCTTAATTTTTGTCTACAGCTTTCTTTTTCATTAGCGGATATAAGAGAAAGTTGATTTTTTTCTTCCATTATTATCTTTTATATTCATTATAAGAGTGGCAAATGAAGCAACCAGAGTTGGAGGGTGGGGGTCATTTCTGCTTAGAGAGCTTTCCTTCAGATGGAGAGTTAATGCTGACTTTCTCAGAATGTGATAGAAGTGAAGACGTGACCAAGAGAAGGGATGCTGAAGGTTTTGCTTATAGGTGATGACTTTAGGTCTTCTTTTTTCCATAGGTTTTTTTTTTTTTTAAGTTTTAAAATTGTTTTGCTTTTTACAATTTATCTCTTCCCTAGGACAAGTCCTTTTCTCTTTCTTAGCTTATTATTTGGTATTTACTTTAATATCTTTAAATATATGCCTGATTTTCAGTTTTAGGCACTGTCTTTTGGCTTCTCATTATGGAAGATAAGCTCCCACATTCTCTACCCCAATCCCATCATTCATTCTAACCCTCACATGCTCACCCCTTTGTTACCCTTCCTCTGATTGAAATTTATATAAACTATTATGAAATAATTGTATGTTATAGAAAAGGTTTGGTTAGATAACTTTTTATACTTGTGTACGTGTGAAATATATTTATAGAAAACGATCCAAAACAGAAAAATGTAGCTCAGTGACTTTTACATGCTGAACTTCCTTGTTGTAACTATGTCCTTGGATAAGAAATCGAACATTGTCATCCTGCTGGAAGTTGCCAGTGTGTTCTTGCCAATCATTGTATGCCCCCTTCCAAAGGTAACTACTCTCTTGACTTCTGGAAAATCACTTCCTTTCTTTACTTTATAGTTACACCATCTAAGTTTAAATTCCTAAACACTATAGTTTAGTTTTTCTGTGCTTTGAATTTTATATGAATTCAGTCAGTCATGGAGTATGTGTTCTTTTGTGTTTGGCTTCTCTTGTGAGATTTATTGACGATCTTGCATTTGACTGAAGTTTACTCATTTTCATTGTTCATTTATTGCTGTATAGTATTCTGTGGAATGAGTAGACCACAGTTTCTTCATTTTCCTATCAGTAGACATTTGAATTATTTCCAGTGTTTTTCATAATTCTGCAAATGTTCTTGCATTTGAATCTTTGTGTACATTATAAGTATTTCTGTTGTGTCTTTAACTAAAAGTGGAATTTCTGCATATGTTTATCTTAAGCTTTAGCAGATAATACTATCATATTTTCCTGAGTGATTTAATATTTATCAAAATGGCTGAAGTAAAAATGATGGAAAATACTGGGTTGGCTGGGATATAGAATGGGAAGAACTCTGATACACCACTGATGAGATGGGCCAGCCAACCCTGAATATTTACCATCTCTTTCACTTTAGCCATTTTGATGTATATGTAGTTGTTTCTCATGTGCTTAATTTACATTCCCCATTTCCTATTACGGTTGAATGCTTTTTTGGTATGTTTATTGTTCTTTCCTCTATGTTCTTCTGTGACGTGCGTATTCAACTCGTGTGTCTACTAGGTTGTCTTTAAAAAAAAAAATGACTTCTAAGGGTTGATCTGTGACTGTCCTTGATATGAACCTTTTGTCTTATGTATTGCAAATAAATATTTCACTATCTTTGAAATTCAGCATCTTTCAATTTCAATGGAATCTAATATATCAATTTTTTCATTTATGATTAATATTTTTGTGTCCTGTTTAAGAAATTACCCTGATATCCCTACCCTGATATCATGGGGATAGTCTTCTATTTTAGAAGCTTTATTGTTTTGCCTTTTTTTTTTTTTATGATAGTCATACAGAAAGAGAGAGAAAGAGAGGCAGAGACACGGGCAGAGGGAGAAGCAGGCTCCACGCACCGGGAGCCTGACATGGGATTCGATTCTGGGTCTCCAGGATCCCGCCCTGGGCCAAAGGCAGGTGCTAAACTGCTGCGCCACCCAGGGATCCCGCCCTTTTTATTTAGATCTATAATCTGCCTAGAATTCATTTTGGGGTATAATGGGAAGCAGGGGTCCTGTTTACTTTTTTTTTTTTTCCCTCCACACAATACCAGATTGGTCCAGCATGATTTATTAAAGAGATGAGTCATTCCCCACTGCTTTGCAGTGCTATCCTTGTCATAAATAAAATGTTCTTCTACATGATCTGTTTCTGGGGCTGTTTGAGCCCATTGATTTGCTTGTGTATCCATGTGCCTTAATTACTGTAGCTTAATGGTAAGACTTGGTATTCGGTAGATCAAGTCTTCCCACTTTATTCTTAAAAAAAATGTCATGGCTATTCTTGTTTCTTTGAATTTCTCAATCATCAGTTTAGAACCAGTTTCTCAATTGTTAGAAGAACCTATTGTGATTTCAACTGCAATTTTATTGAATTTATAGGTGAGTCTGGGGAGAATTAATATCTTTGTGGCATTCATTCATTCAATATATTCAATGTATTCAACTCAGTATATTCCTTTATTTAGATCTTATTTAGCTGTTGTAACTCCTTTATAGTTTTCTGTTAAGATGCCTTATATACTTTTTATTTAGATTTTTTTCTTAGAGATTTAAAAAATATTCTTGTAACTGGTATTGAATATTTTGTTTTCTGTGCCTCTGGCAAAGAAATGCAGATGATTTTTGTATGGTGATCTTTAGCAGTCATGCTAAAATTCACCCATTATTTGTAATACTTTATTTGTGGATTACTTTGACTATATGGACAATCATGTAGGATACTTTTTATATTCCCAACATTTTCCCTTTGGAAAGGGAAAGCTTTCATAATTATTATATTTTCCTGTATGCTTTTTGCAGGTAATTTTTAAATTTTATTTAAATTCAGTTAATTAACATATAATGTATTATTGGTTTCAGAAGTAGAGGTCAGTGATTCATCAATCTTATATAATACTCAGTGCTCATTAAATCATGTGACCTCCTTGATGTCCATCACCCAGTTACCCTATCCCCTCATCCCCTCACCCCCCACCCCTCCAATGACCCTCGGTTTGTTTCCTATGATTAAAAGCCTCTTTGGGGGATCCCTGGGTGGCGAAGCGGTTTAGCGCCTGCCTTTGGCCCAGGGCGCGATCCTGGAGACCTGGGATCGAATCCCACGTCGGGCTCCCGGTGCATGGAGCCTGTTTCTCCCTCTGCCTATGTCTCTGCCTCTCTCTCTCTCTCTCTCTCTCTCTCTCTCTGTGACTATCATAAATAAATAAAAATTAAAAAAAAAAAGCCTCTTTGGTTTGTCTCTCTCTCAGATTTCGTCTTGTTTTATTTTTTCCCTATCTTCCCCTATCATCCTCTGTTCTGCTTTTGAAATTCCATAGATGACTGAGATCATAAGATAATTGTCTTTCTCTGAATTTTAAGAAATTAACTCTCCATTATTGCTTTGCTAAATGTTTATTATCAAAGTCTGTTGAGTTTTAGCATGCTTTTTCTGCATCAAGATGATAATGTAATTTTTCCTTTTACTCTGTTGTGATGTATTATCACCTTATATGTTGTTGAATTTGGTTTAATATTTTTTATTCAGGAAAAAGTTTTCTCTTCTTCCTCTTCCTGTTCCTTTTTTTTTTTTTTTTTTCCCTTTGGCTCCATGCCTGACATGGAACCCAGTGCAGGGCTTGAGCTCATAACCCTGAGATCAAGACCTGAGCTGAGATCAAGAGTTAGATGCCTAACTGAACCACCCAAGTGCCCTAGTTTTCCTTTCTTCTAATGTATAAAGTGTTAGGATTAAGGAATCTTTTCTCTTTTTCTGTTTCAGGTAGAATTTATACAAGGTTGGCATTATTTCTTCCATAAATGTGCAGTGGAATTTGCTGGATTTAGATCTAGAGGTTTCTTTGTAGAAAGTTTTTAAATTATAGTTTTAATCTCTTTCACTGTCATGTGACACTTCAGTTTTTCTGTTTCTTCTTGTGTCAGTTTCACTACATAGTACATACTTAGCAATTTTATTCATTTAAATTTGTCATTTGAAAATATATTATCTTTTAAATTTTTTTAATATCTGTAGTGAGACCACCATTTTTATTCCTTATGTTAATCATTTGTGTCTTCTCTTTATATTTTCTTGATAAGTCTCATCAGGGGCTTATGAATATTATTAGTTATTTTAATGAATCCTTTGTGGCTTTTTATCCTTTCTAGTGCATATTTTTTCCTATTTCACTGAAGTCTCCTCCTGTGTTTTTTTGGAGTTAATAAGCTATTTATTTTTAACTTTCTAAGATGGATGGTTGCTTGCCGGTTTTTAGCCCTTCTTCCTTTGGAGTATATGTCCAAAATATGTTATCTGTGAATAAAGACAGTTTTTCTTCTTTTCAGTCAGTTTCCATTTTATTTTTCTTACCTTATTGCACAGGTAAGGAGTTAGAGAATAATGTTGAATTGAGGAAGTTAGAGCAGACATCCTTGCTTCATTCTCAATCCATGGGATAAAGCATCCAGTCTTTATCAAGTATGATGTTAGCTGTAGGTTTTTCTTAGGAGATGGATGTTAAGAGAGTTACCCTGTATTCCTAGTTTGCTGAGATTTTTTTTTTTTTTTTACTA